CTTGGTGGTTGGTTGCGTGGCAACTTGCAGTGTTGATTGTCGGCGGCAGAATAGGGTTTTAGTTTACTTGATATTTTTTAGGTTTGTGTGGTGTTTCTTTTGTACTAGTCTTTGTGTTTGTGGTTGTCATTGTTTTATGGGTTGCTCTTTTGTATTTTCTCATTTTGAGAGCGTGTATTCTCTACTTTTTATTCTCCACTTATGAGAGTTTTTTATTCTTTTCTATTTGGTATCCGTATTGTGTGTTGTAGTATCTATGCTACCTTGAGTAATCCTCCTATACGACTAGTCAGCAGGTTGTAATTATGAAAAAAAAAAAAAATGTGTTCAAGTATGATATATAATGTGAATTTGTGTGATTTTGGGTCGTGAACCTTGAATGGTAAGCCAAGTATTATGACATCACAAGGGAACACTAATATATTATGGTTTTTTCTTTAGTTTTTGCTCTAATTGAAAAAATTCAGATGAAAATATGAATAACTATTTATAAATTAAAGACATTTTCTAATAATTTGCAAAGGGTTAATTACCATTTTAAAAGAATACTATTGTAATTCCTTCCAGAAAAGAATAAAAGAAAAGAAAAGAAAAGAAAATAAATAAGTAAATAAAGAACAGAACAGAAGAAAAGAACATAGATGGATGGTGTGAGCTATTATACAAGAGAAAACCACAACACCTACTAAAAAACATCAACTTTGTGCAGAACATAATCAATCACAAAGCAAGATGATAAATGCAACACCAATGTAAATATCTTTTTAAAGATCATTACTGCAAAGTGAAACTAATTTCAACCCGTGAAACAAAAGATAAAAAACATAGAGGACACCTTTTCTCCACTTTGCCGATGCAAAAATCCGATGGACTAGCAAACACTAGGAAAACACCCTAAGTCGAACAAAACCTAGAACAGTAAGTAGCAAAAGGAGCATCAAACAAAACCCGAGGCGCGCACTCGACTAGCACTCATATACTACTCTTGAACGGTTGAGGACTAAGTGAGAGGTTTTTCGTGAGAGACACGAGAGATGTTGGATCAGCTTGTGTGGTCTTTGCAGCTTGGGCCTCCAGATGCTTCTGCACCGTCATGAATATATCAAACATGTCTATCATTCATTATCATGTAAAGATATTACGATCAAGCAAAAACGAAATCTATTCACAGGCTTAGAAAAAAAATAAAATAAAAAAAACTCACCTTACTGTAGTCACCACTGGTCTGTGAAGCTGCTTTTGCGTTCCTCTTCCCTTTGAGCGACTTCTCACGATTCTCATAGAAATTGAAATCGTCCAGAACAGATGTCCTCTCGGTATAATTCTTGAATATGCTCAGCATTTCCAGTCCTTGTTTTAATCCAATCTGTTTTTTTTAAGCAATTTAGTTTGTAGCAAATTATTTTGGAAACAGGAAGCTATTTAACTGGGAAAAAGAATTACACCTCCTGTGTATCCCTGCTATAGGTGACAGACTTATTTTCGTTGTTCTCAAGGATAATGTGTCGCAATAAGGTGTTCGGCACATCCTTAATTATGTGCCACTTAATGGGGAAAAACCCGTTCCACTTGTCGAGCTGCCAAAAGTCCATATTCTTGCTGAAATCAACCCGCCCGATCATCTCAGCAACACCCACAAACTGCCCACTGCCATTCACCTGAAAGTAATCAACATTAATTTTACATTTCAAGGTGAAAATACCCGAAAAAAAAATAAAAAAAAAATCAAATACCCCTAACAGGAAAAAAACTTCCATTAATTTTTCCAGAAATTTAATATTATATGTTTCAGCTTAAAAAAAAAAAACATTGTTGATACCCCACACTCAAACTTCAATTAAATAATGGTTTCAAGTCTTTTCAGCAATGTACAAAAGCCACTTTTGTAAAACATTAAAGCTATGAGCATTAACAGCTACAAAGTGGAGAAATTTGGATATCTTTTATGCTTTCATGATTAATACAAGGCAAGGAAAGCAAAAAAGCTTACCGAGAAAAAAAGAAAGACAGGATACTTCACTCCAGTTTCGCTCGTTTTAGCTTCTGCATCACAAAAAGCAGCATCCAGTTTCTTGTTCCCGTTAGGTGTGCTCGACCAAACATCATATTTTATACATTTGTGAACGTCATCCTCGCTGTATGACTTTATAACAAAGAACTTCGCATTATTGTACTCTGTCTGAAACTCTTGCAAGTTGTACTCATTGTTTTCAATAGCCCTTTCAGCCTCAGCACCAAATTCGGATGAGTTGTTTTTAGCTTCGGACCTCGGGCCGCGTGTTAACTCCGTTAAAGCCTCAAAACCCGAGTTCCTGCCAAAAGTTTCACGTGACTTGTATTTGTAGTTGTTGTTCCATGCTCTGCTGTTTGACTGGTAATTTACAGGACAGTACTGCATGAAAGCACCAGGGTTTCGGTTTGCAAACGAGGAGAATTTAGAAGTTGGTTGATGTCCCTTTGTGAGGCCGGTGGTCTGAAAGCCAGAACCTAACTGAAAGATTGTATTTAAAAGAAGATCATGGTATATCTCATTAATGAAGCTAATTGCATAAAAAAATAGATAATTTAAAACACTATACTCTACGAACATTGATAAATGATTAAAAACGATACCTTGTTCAGCGACTTCAGAGCCTGATTTTGATAGAAAGACTTTGAAAAATTAGAAGACTGTTGAAATTTCGAATTGACAGGCAAAGCTGAAGTTTTCGCAACATTATAGCCATTTGATTTCCCCGAGCCGCCCGGGCCCGTCATGGTCTTAAAAGATCCAGATCTAGCTGCTGACCCATTCGAGACATTCCCAGAATAAGTTGAATCGTAAGTATAACATGGAAATGCATCCGACCCATAAGATCCAGGCTGAGGAAGGTATTCAGTTCCAGTTTGATACGAGGCAAAGCCCGGGTAGAAATAAAGGAGTGAATTACTATCAGACTGAATGCCCTGGTAAATCACCATAGAGTAATCATGTAAAAGGTGTTAATTGGAAGATAAACAGAATTATTCAACTAATTTTACTTCACGAATATATTATAATTAAAATGAGCCTATATGTACACATGCTATACAAGAAACAACGTACCGTGTAAGAACCACCTGACGGATTCAAAAATCTTTTGTCATCCGGCTGACCAAACGCGCCATTGTAACCTGCAGAAAGATGGAATACAAAATAATATTAAATACAAAATAATTAACTGAAAAACATAACCATATGGAATACACGACTCGATGCTCAGAAATAAGGAAATTTTCCTGTAGTAATAGTAAAAATTTTATCACCAAAGTGTGACTGTATTTCAAAAGCATTAAGAGTACTATTAATGAAATGAACTAATCGTATTGCTTGAAAAAGGTTAACAAACGCACAAATATACACACAACAGAAAAGAAAAAACAAATTGATTTTACCAGTATAGTAATAATCATAACAACTGGTAGCCGGATAATAAACACCCTGATCGAAAGCTGTTGGATAATCGGAAGCCGGTTTAGTTTCAGACACACCACTGACCACAGCAGACACGGAAGGAACTGACTTGGATTGATTTCCTTCCTTCCCCTACAAAAAAACCATAGCTTATAGATGTCACATCAATCTTATTTAAAACAAAGAACAAATTTACATATGAAAATTGTTGATAGATTTGATAACACAAACCAGCAAAATTTGGGCACTAAGTGAGCAATGAATTGGCCCGTAAATGGTTTGAAGATTTTTATATCCATGATGTGATGTCTATTGAGCATGATAGTCAAGAAGAGAGATGTAAATTCAACTTTTTATGTCTCTAACTATTATTTTTGCTCTTATTAGTTGGAATATAAGTGGGGAGAGGGCTTGAAAAGTCGTGCTATAAGAGAAGAAAGCTTAAAAGCAAAAACCCATTACAGTAAAGCCGATCAGGGGCTTACCATATTCTTTTCAGAAACTGAACCAGGAGCTATCTGCTTAGCTGCAAATGAGGACAGCAAATAGCATCATATATCTTTGAGGTCGATAAAAAATAACTGCATATACACAGAAATAATAAAGAAAATAGTAGAAGTAAAAGATTTCAGAAATTTTGCGATCAGCTCATAAGTGTACTTGTAACACCAATTAGTTGATCCAACAAAAAATGCATACTCTCCTAATCACCATCTGAAATCCGGAACAGTGGATAGATCACTCTAGCTCTCAGTTTAAAAGATTAAAACAAAACCTATATAACAAACTAAATGCAAAGTTCAAGCTATAATATTCTAATAATAGAACTAACAGATTTAAATTTCAACAGAAAAAATACTAGAAATTTCAAAACTCAAAATAGAGAGTCCCAATTTGAAAACAAACACATCCATCCACTTGGTCAGTTTCATAGATAAGAGGTTGTTTCTCTTGCTGCATTTTACCATTCCCTTCGCCAAAAAAAGGACTTACAAATAATGTAGTTTAGTCATTGCAAAGGGCACGAATGAAATATTTTAGACGAGACACATGTTTCAAAGGATCTGATCCTAGTTACAACTAACAAAAACATCAAGAAACATGGAACACATGAAATAGACAATTTGTTATGTTACTAAATCCACATATTTAGAGACAATTGTTTATCTTATTGAATCAATAAATTCCGAGCAGATTTATATAATTTAAGGAAAGGCGGAGACATCCTTGCTGAACAAAGCCACACAGACACATAATCAAATTTTGCAAGACATAACGTTTTGCAGCCATGATATATTAAATTGTTCCTAAATGATATTCACAAACAGAATGAAGAATAATTTATACACAAAAAATTAAATACTCGAGCAGCTAAATGCATCATAATCATAGAAAGGTATCAGTGGTAGAACAAATAGGCCTTACGTGCTTCCAAATCCTTCTCCCCAGACATTTTCTATACCCAATATTAATCTTTCAACCTACAAGAAAACAAAACCGAGGAAAACAACTGTAAGAACAGAGTGGAAACCTCTTACACACAGAGATTTCAAGTACTTCCCCTATTAATTCGAAAGAATCGTTCCGTAATTTCGAAAACTCCTCAATCATACACAAAATATGATATTAAAGACTCAAATAATAAAACCTAAGAAAAAACAGAGAGAGATTTATATATAACCCCTTGCAAAAGGGGATTCCTTTCTTCCCGCATTAAAGAAAGAAAGATGAAGATTCTTGTTCCTTCATAAATTTCAAAGATAATGGGCACAAAAAAGATTACTCAACTTTTGCACACCACAGAACAAAAGGTCATAAAAGAGTTCAAGAAAACTTGTTGTCAACAGAGAAGATATTTTCTGTTACACATTGAAACAAAAAAAAAAAAGGATCGCATATATCCCATGAAGAACGGGATATTTTGAAGACAAAAATATCGGTGAAAATTTTTTCATGCGAGCCACGAACTTATCTCGTCCACACGAAACATGGGAATCAAAATGGAGAAGTAGCAAATTGCGTTCCTCCACTCACATACAATAAAACAATATTTGGGCTAACGTTGTACTCCACAAAACACGGAACCACGAGACGCAAGACGAGCCTAAATGAAAGAACAAGCAAAACCCAGAACAAAGATACAAGAAATGAGAAAACCCAACTGACAAAAAACGAGAAAGACTTAGGCTTTGTAGCATACAATGTACGAGTAAAACCCTTTGATCTGATGTTTTTTCCTTTGAATATCAAGAAACCTGCCTCTATGTTCAGAAAAAACAGGAGGATTGACGAAAAATGACAAAAAAAAAATTAAAAGGGATAGTTCGCTGTGCGAGTTAAAGCAGGAGAAACGAAAGGACACACACACAAGAGAGGCGTGTGTGATGGGGAGGTACGGAGGACGAAGGCCGACAGTGATATAAACCCTTGTTTGATCCGACGGCTGGTTTTGAATACTTACTCGAACAGAAGCCCCCCACTGGCCGTGGATCAACAGATCTGAAGCGTGCTTTGGAGGGTTTTAAAAACACTGCACAGAGGAATCTCAAATGTTGGCGTCAAATATGACAGTCAAAAACAGTCGATCGATGTCGATTAGTATTACTCCTTTTTTTTAAAAAAAAAATAATAAATTAAATGGCTAATTTGTGAGAAAATACAATATTTTTTATATAATTTAATTTCGAGTTGTTTAAATAGACATATGCATTCATACCAATTTTAACTCCAACTCTCGTCCACATTATCATTCCACTAAACATTTTTTCATTTATCCGCATTCCTTGAATAATTTAAATGTAATCATTCTTATGAGACTCATTATACACTCACTCGATATAAATTTCGATATTCTATTCTTAGTAAAAATAAAAAAATTAATGTTTTAAAATAATAGGAAATTTTAAATGTGTGAAATAAAAGAATACTACAAGACAAAACAAAAAAAAAAACTTAAATTAAGATTATAAAGAAAAACAATTAATTGAAAAAAAAAATTAATTAGTGACAAAATGGATTCAAATATGCTCAACTAAGTTGGCACGAAGTAGATGATGCATTGTATTATCTCGTATCTTTGAAATTCTACAAATATAATTTTGAAATTCTCGATTTGAGCCCTGAGCAAGTTGTGCGGGCTCTTTATTCTCGTCATTGTGTCAATGTGTTACTACATCTCATTCATCTTTAACAATCATATATTGTATAAAATAATGCATGTGAACATAATAAATTTCAGTTTTCTTCTATACCTAAACCAAGCTGGACCTCTTACAATTGTCCACCGAGACTGAAGCACCCTAAATGTTCTTTCCAGATCCTTTCGAGCGGCTTCTTGTGTTTCTTTAAATAAATTTTATTGACCAACAAATTGATTAGTCGCAATGTTCAAAAGACATTACATCTCTCGAATACAAAAACAATTTTAGTGAAAGACGGACTACAAAATTTTGTTTCGAACAAAAATGATTTAATGAAAGGCAAATAAAAAAATTCATTTCACAAATTACAACATATAAAAATAGGAAGACCATTAAAAATAGGTAATACCAAAAACCTAAAAATCTCATTTCCTTCGAATTACTTGACTCATTTTATCATGAGAAATACGTTGCCCTAGGCTCATGTGCTTGTGTCCTTTAGTAAAATCTCATAGTTTTTTCGACAATCTATTTGTTTCTTCTCCTCAAGATTAGCTTTTTTTTCTTCAACTTTCGTTCTTTTTAAATTCGTTAACTCAGCCAAATGCTTAACCATGTTGTTATACTCAGTGGCCATCTCATCAAGGTTAGATTTGCATTTGCCCTTGGCCTTTCGTTTAGCTGCTTTCTGGCCCATTAGACGAGTCACTTCATTAATTTCGTCTATGTCAATGTTCACATCCCCCTTAGATGAAGTATTGTTGGCACCAGACTCTTCTATTCTCGTCTTTTTTTCTCGCAACAAAAAATCATTAGAAGGTTGTGGAGTGTACATGGGACGATATTTAAGGATTATCCACACATGCTCAAAATGAACGCTGCACCATTACTCTCGATACAATATTTTTAGTAAGCGCGACTTAATATATTCTACTCACTATTACCACTTCGATAAACAATGTAAATATCGTTGTAGCTCTCATTGAACATATACACCTTTTTCTTGAATCGCATTATGCTAGTGAGATCTTATTATATTGAAATACTAGGAATATAGTCAAAAAAATTATTCTCGTTATAATAATTTGCAACACGTACTCAAAAGGCTTCAACCTTCTGATCATTACCAGTGACTGGATCGTCGCTTATTGTCAAGTAAGTCGTGGACAATAGCACATCTTCTTCCTTTGTCCAATTTGGACGATTTTTCGACCCTCGTGAATGGCTCGTGTTTTTTTGTCATTTCAATATTAATGGTTCCTTAACGATTTGGGAGTTGTGCTTTTAGAACATAAGTTGGAGTACCAGGTTCTTTTCTCATTTGAGATTCAAACGATTGCCTCAATTGTTGCGGAGAATATTGCACTAAGTTTGAACTACTTAAATATTGCCAATATTCAGGCAGAGAATTTTGAAATAAAACTTGTGGAGAAAATTGTGAATATGAAGTATTGGACTGAACGGTATAATTTTGAGAGTATTGTTGCATAAAAGAAATAATTTGATGGGAATTCTGGAGGATTTTGTGCAAGATAAGTGGCTTGTAAAAACGGAAAATTCAAGGGAGATTGTGAATTTTGAGAATTTAATGGAATGTCATCTGTAAGATTCGAATTAGACCTTGACAAATTTTGAAAATGTTTTGCTATTATTATGATTAATTTTTTTTTTTTAGCAAATGAATCAATACCTAAAATATTTTGTGTAGCTGAATGTTGGTCCGTTCAATATTATACTAAAAAATATATGAAACAATTTATTTAAATATTAAAATAATACAAGTGGATAGGATGAGATGAGACAATAGGGAAAAGAATTGGGCATTCTTACCGTTCAAAGCATTGAATGAATGGGGTTGGACCCACTCATTTACTCAATCAAATGGATGCCTACAATGGATTGAACACCTCCCAGTGCATTTAAATGACTTAATTTAACAGTGCGTTGCAGATGCTCTTATAATTAGAATCAAGACACCTAGTATTTTGACAAATTGATATACGCCCTTTAACCCTTGACAACCAACATAAATGTTTATTAAATCGGTCATTTGTATTAGTAATGATATTAAGTAATTAAAATAAAATATCAGTTGAAATCAGTAATTATAAATTTAATTAAAACTATATACTTATTGAAAGAACAATTCATTTTATTTTTCACCAAATATAACTAATTATATTTCCTTAAAAGAAATAAAATTACATAGTGGATATCAATATCACATGTGTCGTATAGATATCAATTCTAGATATATATTTGTCGCCTGAGATTGAAACCATGTATCAGTTTAATAGAAAAACTTTTGATTCATGTATTTAGCTATCAAAGTTAAAAATAACATTTAAAATGCCAAATAGGAAAAATCGTGAAATTTAATGACAACCAGCCTTTTCAATTTTAATGAGGGGTGCAACGTGTTTTTTTTTTTTTTTTTCGAACCACATGAATATCATTCATAGAAAAAGTAGAAAACTACAAGGTTTAAGTACACACTAGGTATAAACCCACTAGAAATTGAGTAAAATAAGAGAATCAAACAAACGTGGTCTAGAAACCCTAAAAAACAAACATAACTATAGGCAACAAAAAAGCAAATCCGTTAGTTATTCAACAGAAACAAACTAAATTGAAGTAAACTAACAAAGCATAGTCGCAAGACCTAGATTGTCCCTCAATTAGTCTGTAGATCCCTACACATTCTTGATTTAGATTAACTTCTTCCACTCTCTCACAGCTTACTTCACCAAGCAATATTCCGGGATCCAAATTTTCAGAAAAATCCAAAGGTTGCGAGATTCTACATCCACCAGAACAAGTACGTTGACAGCTGAATTCTGTCTTCATCTATGTCTTTATAGCTCAAAGCAAATCTTTCACCACCAATCTGAGATAGTACAACTTGCTGTAATAATCCATCCCAGTTCAAATATGCTGTCTCCCAATCTTTCTTGCTTTCCTGCAGTTTCGGAATATATGTTCAGTAGACTCATCCTCCTCCAACCAATATGGCAGAATGAGTCCACATCCAACCCTCTTACGATCAGATTGAGACCCACTGGTAAAGCCTCTGTCTTTGACTGAACTTCGCATCTGAAGATGCAATTGCCTAACTGAGTGAAGTGTACGAATTCCTTGACTTCACTGCGCTGAGAAGCACTTCCAAATGAAGTGTTTAATCTTCACATTCATTTTCATTTTGCAAGTTTGCTTCTTGTTTGCATGTCTGCCTGGCTAGAATCACTTCATTCAGGTGTATCCATTTAATGCATTTTCTCCAGAATTAGTTTAGCATAGGCCTATGCTAGAGAGAAGTGCCCTTTATGTTCCAGTTTTCAGACCCATATATCCTCCTCCTCTGGCCTTAGTGATATGATCCTCAAACTTTCTCCTGCAATTTCTTCATCAAATATCTGTTTAACTAAATAATTATTCCATTCTCTCGCTCTATTCATTAAAAGATTAACAACATAAACTAAGTTAGTTTGAACTCTTAAACTATATTCTCCTTCTTCCAAAAGCCTGCACCCAGTTATGCCCCAGAATCTTTGAATTTTTTTTTCCACTCTTTAAATCAACTACAACCCTTGATCAAACTTAGGCCTAACCTCCATCCAACTATTACACAACTAGGATCCGTAATTTTTCTTCTTTGCCTAAGAAAAAGAAGTTAAAAAAAGTACTTGTTTTTAAGAATCACCACCCTCCACAGTTGCTTCATGATGAGGGGGCCTCATTAAACAACAATATATCTTGAAAACTAATCCCTCACAAATCCTTTGGTAAATTGAACTGCTTCCAGGATTTCCAGTGAATTCCTCTACTTCGATCTTCCCCCTTAGACCACCAAAACTGAGCAAACATGCTAGAAATCTCCTTACAAAAAGACAAATACAACTTAAACAAGACATCACAAAAATTGGAAGAACATTAAGGACAACTTTTATTAAGACTTCTTTGCCTATTGTTGAGAGATTACGGGCCAATTATCATATATATCTTCTCATGGTTTTTTTTTTATAAAAAATAAAATAGTAGGTCTAGTATATTAGAAAACAAAATTATAAACCTTCAATATTTTTTTTTTTTTGGAGACGTCAATCGTGCATCATGGTCATAAAATGAGTTGGATAAAATGAAATTCAAACTTTCCATCACAAATTAGTATCAATACACATAACAAATGTACTATATTACTCACAAACGGGTATCATACGCATGCATCAAAGGTACTATGTTCATCTACGAGAAAATTACATATTAGTAGACATGAACACCAAAAAACAATCATTGGCACCTTTTTTGGTGAATATGAAGAAAAGCTCGATTCTAGGAGAAAGAAATAAATAAATACCATCACAATCGATTCGTCGGGAAAATATGAGTTCGGAGTCTGCCGAAAAAAAAAGACGAGTGGAGTTCGCCAGAGATGGTTATCCATCTTTCGTCAGGGTTCGTCTCGTCCGTCTTTCGCAGGAGTTCTTACGACCAGGGGCGGAGCCACCCCAAAAGCTGGGGTGGACTCCAGCCCGGTCTTAATTTTACGGGACATTTAAATATATACTACTAAAAAGTATTTTAGCCATGTTATGTTAGACTAGCCACAGATTAATTTTATTTTGGTCTAAACTAAATTAAATTTATTTTAAATTAATGCAATGTATTATATGATTGAAAATGGTTTACATCTCTTATAGCTTTTCCTTTTAGCTCATTATGTCGTTTTCTGCTTTCTTTTTGTGTTTACATAATATAATTTAGTTAAGTAAATTTTATTCGAATAATTTTATTTGAGACAATAATTGTTTTGTGTTAAACTTCCATCCAAATAATCCGTCTTCTTTTTGTGTTGAATATATATATTCAGTATATAAAAAATTTAGTACCAAGTGTCATTATTTATTTATGTGGCATATTCAGTGAAATGATGTGTGAACCTTAAATGACATGTCATACAACAAAACTAAAGTGATTAGAATACTGTCTCATGGCGTTCTTTTTAATAAATATGTTATTTTTCTAATTGAAATTCAAGCATATGAGAAAAAAATATATTTGAATATAAAAATAATAATTAATCAATTACAAGTTATGATTTGTCATATGTATTAAAGAGTAGTTAATATAATTTACAAATTTTTAGGAGGTCCATATAATTAATTTTTATTATACAAATACAACGTCCATAATTTAATATTATGTAATGTGTGATTCATCATTCATGTATTTTATATTAATACTTCAAAATTGTTTTTATATTTTTTTATATATGTGTCCAGCTAGATTTTTTCGAGTCAAGTACTTCATGTTTAAACTCGTGTACATTTAATAAACGAGTTGCCATGACTATACTCATTTAATAAACAAACAAAAATGTGAGCTCGAGTTCGCATCGATTAAACTTAGTTCGACTCGTTTAATAAATTTTTTATCTAGACCAAAACCCAAAATTTTAAAATCGAGTCGATCACGAACATGTTCAACTCGACTTGGAAAAACTTGAGTAGTTGTTTAACTTTAGCTCGTTTAAATATACAAGCGAGTCGAGTTCGACCTTTCACAAGTCGAATCGAACTATGTTATTGGTAGTGCTATTAAATTAAATAAGTCTGGCTCGGCTCGTTAAGGCTCGAGTTCGGTTCGGCTCTTATGATAAACGAGCCGAAGTCGAGCTCATTTGAAGTTCTTTGGTTAACGAAGTCAGCTCACCTCGATAAGGCTCGAAAAAAAAATTGTATATAATTTTCTATATTTCGGTTCGTTAGAGCTCGAGATCGTCTTGTTAAGGCTCGAACTCGAATCGTTATTAATGATAAAAGAGTCGAGCTCGAGCTAGCCTTTTAACGAGCCGAGCTGTTCTTTTTATCTATTTTAGAACAATGCGAATGCGTGTAGGAACAGTTTCATGTGTACGCTCGATCACTGAAAATTATTTATTAAACGTTTTCACCACCCAATAATTTTTCATAAACAAAATTCTACACAAGTTCTCTCCAACAAAGCACAGCCTCAACAAGCTCACTAGTTCCTTTTAGTTTAACCTGCATTTTTTCAACATACAATTCATAAGAAAGTTACCAAGAAACCACTCACTCTCTATAACACAAATGTGTGAACATATTCTTACAGTTAAATCAAAGTTAAATAATAAGCTCATCTTCTTGTGCATGCACCTCATCAGTCATACTCTCAACAACTCATATCAATTTCCCAGGGAGCTAAAAATTTATCATCATCTTCACATCTCCTTCAAAATCCCCCACGATTTCATCCGACGTTAAAAATTATCATCTGCCACCTTTATATTTCCCAATCGAAACGAAAA